TAAACTCGAAGAAAATTCAAGTTTCTGAACTCTGCAGAACGGGAGATTCAAACGGCTTGAATCCTCCGTTCTGCAGAGCACGGAAACTTGAATTTTCTTCGAGTTTCCGTGCTCCAAAAAACGGGAGCTTCAAATTTTCGTGTTCCAGAAAAGGGGACCTTCAAACTGTATTTTGAATTTTTTTTTCGGAAAAAAATAATAATATTGGGGTTCCCGTGCCCTAGGAGACGATTGTTCATGGTTCCCGTCCTCCAGGGCACGGGAAACACATGTTTCCGTCCTTCAGGGCATGGGAACTTGGTGTTTCCGTTCTCCACAGCACGATTGTTCAATTTTTTTATTTTTTATTTTTTGATTTTCCCGTGTTGTGCAGCACGGGAAACCCAAAAAAATTGGGTTCTCGTGCTGCACAACACGATAATACCGCTAAAAAATAGAAATTTCACTAATTTATTCGATTTTACCTCGTAGAAGTCATCCGAATCGGCCATTATGTTATTTGTTGTCGTCGGGCAGTCGATTTATCAAACAAATACGAAATTCTTTTTTTTTCGACCTTTTTTAATTGAGAGCGTTTTGAGTTTTTTAGAAAGTTGGAAAAAGTTGAAATGAAAGTACCGCTGCAAATAAGCCAATTTCAGTAAAAGTCCCGCTACAATTAGCATTTCAGAAAGAAAAAAAAAAATAAAGATGTTTTATATTTTTGGGTAAATTGCACTTTCCCCTTGTAATTTGGATGAATATCACTTTACCCCCTGTACTTTTAATTGCATCAATTTATCCCCTTGTACTTGAAAAATTGTCTCAATGAGGCCTTCGCCGTTAATTTTTATACCATTGACCTTAACACCGCTTGATCTAAGTCTGAAAATTACAAAAAAACCACCCATCTCAGTTTAAATAATTATTAAAAAAAATAAAAAATTGTACTCGCGTCGTGGACTATGTTTTCTCGTTGTCTTGAATTTTTTATTATTTAATTTTTTGTTTTTTTTTTTAATTTTTTTTCAAATTTTTGAAACTTAAATTGTAATATTTACCCATTTACTTTTCAAAAATGAAATTGGAATTACTTTCATAAATCCGAATCGGATCTAAAATTGATTATTTTATATGTAGTTTCGATTTCTATCCAAATGTTATTGAAAAACAATCACAATTTTGTAAGTTCGAAAGTCGAATTCATAAATAAGAAAAACTATATATATTTATATTCGCAACTTTACATCTGAACACAATTCTACTTAAATACTAAAATTTATACCGTATTTTATACCATCGTCATCGATAAATTCCTTATAGTATGTATATATAGTCCGATTACTCCATTTTTTGTTAGTAAGTCGACTCAACTCAATTACACGTCTAATGCATGCATGCACACGTGACATAGTATATATAAAAATATATATATATATATAACATTATACAAATTTAATATTTACTAATTATTAGTCCAATTATATAACATAAAAATAAGAAGATTTACATAAAAAACTTTTAAAAAAATTAATGTGTGTGAGGATATACTAATAACATTGTGTATTTTCATTATCTACTCAATTTAATATTTTTATACAAGTAATATATTTCATTATAAAGTGGCAAATTTTATTTAATATTTCATTAATATTTTTTAGAAGGGTAACTAAAAAAATATTTATAGAGTGAGGGGTAAATATGGTAAATTGAAATGTACAGTCACAGTGTACACTGGACAATATTATATTATTTTAACCTAATTTAATCAGTAGACAAAACATCATCACTCCCAAAATAGATACGCCGGCTGGTCACAATTCCCACCATTTCTGCAAAAGCAAAACCCTAGGTCATGGATTCCCAAATTGAAAGGCGATTGAAGAAATCGAAGCACCAAAACGACGACGCAGATGAACCCATCATCTCCTTCGATGAATTGCCGTCAGAAATCCTCACCGACGTACTCTCCAGGCTCCCGATCACATCTCTCATTCAGTCCACATTCGTCTGGACATCCTTAAAACCGCTGTCGAATGATCCAAACCTCGTCAACATGCATTTGTCTCGATCGTCGACGAACAACAGCTTGTGCCTGATCCTCCACTCGGATCTTCCGATCCAAAACCAGCTCCATTTCGTCAGGGTTTCCGGCGATTCTAAGGTGAGAAAAATCGGCATCCCTTTCGAAATGTCAATGCCTGAATTCAAAATACTAGGTTCATCCAATGGTTTGCTGTGTTTGTTGAATACCTTGTTCACCGAGTCGATTTGCCTGTACAATCCTTTCACAAGAGACCATTTTGCCCTCCCCAAGAGTTATGATTTCCAGGACCAAGTGGTCGTTTACGGGTTCGGGTCCCACCCGGTCACCAAGGACTACAAAGTGATCAAGGTTGTATACTATACGATTTCCTTTTTCCGTCGTTTGGGAGAGAATCTTCGCCATTTTAATCAGTACTTCAAACGAAGGATCGAATCAGAAGTTAAGATATATAGCCACGCTAGCAAAATGTGGAGAAACTACGGGCAAATACCTCACCGGCTAGAGCAATGGTCATCCCCTGGAGTTCTTTCTAATGGATGCCTTCATTGGTTTAGGGCATTGGAAACTTACAGGGCGGGGGAGCCACTGAGACGGACTATTGTCTCGTACGATTTGGCCGATGATTCATTTCGTGTAATGTACACTCCTTCTCTCTACGATGTTTGCCCTTCAATGCGTCGTGGGATTCGCTATCTCGACTCTTTAAACGGATGCCTTTGTGCTTATATGCCTGCGGGTCGTGGGGCGGTCGATGTTTGGGTGATGAAAGAATACGGGGTGACTGAATCTTGGGTGAAGCAGTACACGATTGGGTCCTACATTCCTGGTTCCGTAGTTTGTGATGAAAATGGATCTGGGATGCCGTCAGTTCGAGTGTTGTGTGTTCTCGAGAGCGGGGAGGTGTTGTTGAAGCGAAAACAAGAGTTCATTTGTTACGATCCGTATAAAGAAAGATTCAAGGAGTTGAATTACCGTGGCATGCCGAGAAGTTTTCGCACAATCGTTCATGTTGGTAGCCTAAAGTCTGCAGCTTCACCATGGTAATAAATCTTTTTCAAGAATCCCCCATATTTATTTATGCATGCATGTTTACATTTATAAAACATTTTTTTTAAGAACTTGAGAGGATTTTATATCATGAACGAGTAAACTACATTAATCCACCGAGGTGGTGTTTTAAAACATTTTGTTGTTGTTGTGTTGTGACGTTGATCCTTGTATTAATTAGTTTGTGGGGAGAAACAAAGACAATCAATTAAAAGTATTGTGGCTATAACTCTCATTTCTCTTATATAATTTTTTTATGTATGCCCTCGTTTGCCATCGCAACTTGAACTACATTCAAGTTGCATGTTTATTTTTGAGATAAATCATAAATGTGATTAGTCCTAATATTCTTTAGTCACGATTAATTTGCGCAGAACAATTCTGATGTGATATGAATGCGTTTGTAGTTATATATGGTCTTTTTTTTTTGGTAATTGAGGCGTTCAATTAATGAACGAAACACATGTATGGGCACTATAATTTTGTGTGAGCAATTCAAGATTTGCTGTAACACGCCTCACGTGTACGTAAAGAGCATTTACGTGTTTTAGAAGAGAAATAATGGTACGGAAGTAGTTACCGTTTCAAGTTATGTTAGATGGTCTGCATATTAAGGAACCATTAGTTGTTGTCGGTATTGAACGAAATCTGGAATTTAGTGTTGCATGTAATTAAGCTCACCGGAGAAAGTTATGCCTGCCATGGAAATAGAGCTTGTAGCATATTAGGAATATAGATCAGAGAATCATAAGTAGTAAAAAGATCTAAGTTGTTGAAGATAAAATCCCAGTTGATCATTTGCATGTTGCCTTTCTTCAATAATAGTATAACTTGAAATATCCTTTCCGAGTTTACAGGTCTTTATTAGGGGTCGTAATTGGAACGGAATTTTCAAATTCCACAATTTTTGGAATATTTTTTTTTCATCGATTGCTGATTTTTTCCGATATTTTTTTTTGGGGAAGTAGACATAAATTAATCGGAAACTCCAATTAACAAATTTATATGATTTATGTTAAATGTAGTCTATGGAATTAAATATACATAATTTTGATTAGAAAGTATTAAAGTGGTGTGACAAGGAAATTTTTTTGATATGGTTATAAATGATACTTTAAGAAATTGAATTTCTAATTTTTTTTTTTTTTTTTGATTTTTTTTGTAAAATATTAAAGTAACAGTTTTTGAAAGTTGTGATATTTTTATTTCAAACTGAAATTTTCTGTGTATAATCAAATCATAAACATGCTTAAAAAATTGTGAAATGACTTGTAACAAATAAAATATTAGACTTTTAGTGAAACCAATATGTATATGTCTTTATTGCTAATTGTTGTCAACGTTTAGGGTTTGTTAGCTAATTATTCCAAATCACACTAGCCCAAAAAGAAAGAACAAATATGCTTAACTATTTTGAAACATCACCTAATAATACGTTTAAATGCCCAAAATTTTAATTATTTGATATATACACTTCCCTCCATCCATTTTCTTCGTTGGTAAGTTTTTATAGAAAATGTAAATTTGTTAATAATTTTTAGAAACCAAATAAAATTCTTTAGTTTTATTATTGTTATATTTTTTTTACTCACACACCACACATAATAACAAGGAAAAAATTACCTTTCTGTCCCACAAGGATGACCTAACGGTTGGAGCAAGTGAATTTGTGTCAATTGTTCAAAATTTGAATCCACTTGCCAACGATCACTAGATCGAGCTTGTCAAACATAGTTAGCCTAGTGTAGTTCACGTCTCTCGTATAGTTTGCAAAGCCATTATACGAGAGTAGTGTAGGTTTACCCAATGCACTTATACGATTTATACGGTTGGCTGCGAGTTCCCGTATGGTTTGCAAAACCACTATACGAGAGTAGTGTAGGTTTGCGAGTGCATTTATTACATAAAAAAAGGAGAAGTTACCTTCTTTATTATTTTCTATTCACACACCAAATAAAAAGAAATTACGTTTTGGTTAAAATAAAAATTTACCTTTTCTTTTTCTCATTGACAGCTGTCTCGAATTCCATCAACCAAACAATCCCATATAAAAAAAAATAATAAAATACCAAACTCAACACATAATTACATATAAAATTTGTACTAAATAAACTCAGCCACCCCAACAATTTCTTCAGCAAAAAAAAAAAAGACATGCATTATTTCTCTGCATTATGATCAGTCCAACAATACATCTTGTTCGCCTTCATTACTCTTGAGTATGGATAATTATCAAACACAGTCCGCTGTTTTTTTTCTTCCTTAGTTTCCCCGAAAGTTTTGATGTTAAAGTTTGGTAATAAAATATTTGAACAGGTGGTGTAAAAATCTGAAATTGCGAACAAGGGTTTTGCTCTGCGCCACCAGTTCTTGGATTCTCAGCCACTCTATTGGAAATTCAATAACCACCCTCTCATCTTCAAGGTTTTCTCTCTTGCTTACAATTTTATTACATATAATAATTATTAACCAAAGTTCATGCAACTGATTGTTGAGTTCATGATTGTATTTTATGCTTATATGTCAAGGAAATAAAAATAATAGGGTTTTGACAGCCTGTTTTCGTTGCGAGGTCTTTTGTACTTTGCTGTCGATTTACATTTTATGGCTTTCGTGTTTTTTCATCGACTACGCCTTTTAGGAATTTTTATGTTAGTAATGGTTGAATTCTCGTTTGTAGTTTATGTTTACACGTAAAGTACTTAAGTAAATACAAGAATAAGCTTAATCGGAGTTTTTCCGGTTAAACCTATACGCAATTGATTTTTGTCTATAAAGCTTATTTCGTAATGTTTTGTTGCCTTTCAGACTCTGCATTATTCCAATATTTATTTTATTTTATTTTTTTAAATCCCTATACATTAGTTTTGTTTATGGTCATTGTATTATATTAACTTTACATCTAACAGATACATTGTGTGATTGCAAAATCAGGTTCGTATTTGTGCTTCAGGGTAATGTGGTTCTGAGTGATGCATTGTTCAGTAGATACAAGCTAGAGGTACGAGAGCTGAACTAAAAACTGTCGATAATTCTTTTTTTTTTCTTTTCTTTTCGTTGTTTAAGGCTTAAAAATGACCATTAGAATTGATAAATAATTTTGTTACTATATGCCTTGTCTGAATTAAAAATTTGCAGGTCGATTCATATGCTTATATTCCTTTGGTTGAAGTCCGATACATCTGCCACTCTTGTTGTGTTTGAACGAATTTCTCAATGTAACGGTATAATATTCTTCCTTTATTTATTTAAAATATCAACTATTTTTTAAGAAATGTGCAATTAATTACGAAATCACGCGATTTCTGTGATCTAAACAAAGATTCGAATTTAATGAAGTCGACAATCGACATATTTGCAGGAAATTCAGTATAACCAGCACGGATTATTGCTGTTGGAGGGACAAGGCATTTTCCGCTTAGGTGGTAGCTGGTAATAAATTCATTCCCTAATTAATATTATTCTCGATTTTAAAATGATTTCATTTTTTTTTTATGTAATAGTAATCGTAAGTGATAACGGAAGCATGTTGTTCAAGCTGGCGACACAATTTGGATGGGTCGCTTTGTGCCTCAATGGTAAGTAATTAATAGAGATTGCTATCATGTTTGCAAAAGCTTATTCAAAAGTAGAAGTCAGTGATTGTGAGTTAAGTGGTTATTATGTGCTGATTTCTAAAAGTTAAAAATATGCTGGAAAAAATCAACTTTAAATAGAAAAAAAACAGGTTCATGGTGGTTTTTAAAAAATAGCTTAAAACACCTTATTTTAAGAGAAGCAAAAGCAAAAACTGATTTTGCAAACACCTAAAAACAGATTATGAGCAAAAAACAGATTATGAGCAAAAAACAGCTTAGAAATTGTTTCTAAAAGCTTTTGCAAACACCGCCAAAATTTAATTAATTTTTATTTATTTATTTAATTTTCAGGTTGGTGGACTTGGCAAGGCAAAGTCGCGTTATTTGCTGTACAAAGATGTCAATAGTCGCGTTATTTAATTTTTTTTTTTTTTGAGCTTATTGCAAATACCACATCTGTGAAAGTCGCAACTGCACTTCACCGCCCCACCACCACCCGTTGGTTAAAAAAACTAGCAAATACCCCCCTATACTTTTTAGTCAAAGTTGTATAGGCCCCCGAGCGAGTGCCTGTTGCTCACTCGTTGTTTGTGCGCCTGCCTAGACTTTTTTATTTGAAATGACACATGTACCCTTAAATCGTCTTTAATTTAATTTGCAAATGGTTGAATCATGAACTCAAACCACTTTTAACCAACAAAAAATCCAGTTCAGTACTTGAAAAGTTTCGGTTTTTGGAGCATTGGGAAAAGCCCCGGGAAAAATGACATCACGTAAAGCTCGAAAAATCACAATTTGATTCGAGAAAATGCTAGAGTATGCAAACAACATAACACCAATTCGAAAACCGAGACTAGGTAAATTTCGTCAAACAACATATCTCTATTCATTATAAAACGGAGAAAAGAAATTCGAACTCACATCGTCACTATTCTTGTACCTTCGTTATCAGAAGGACTTAGAAATCAACACTTTAATTACGGAAAGGGCATTTTGGTCTTTTCACGACAATTGGCAGCTGACTCAGCTTCCCATAAAGAAAAAAAGTAAAAATAAAAAATTAAACTACCAAACTCAGCACCACTCACTCTCACAAGACAACAAACTCCCACTCCACATTTTTCTTCAGCAAACAAAATATGAATTCTCTCTCTGCATTTTCAGTTCAAAAATGCATCTTCTTCGCCTTCATAACTCTGAGTATGGATAATTAATTATCAAACACAGTCCGCTGTTTTTTGTTTCTTCCTTAGTTTCCCCGAATTTTTTGATGTTAATATTAAAATATTATGAACAGGTGGTGTGAAAATCTCGAACTGCGAACAAGGGTTTTGCTCTGCGCCGCCAGTTTTGGAAGCTCAGCCGCTCTATTGGAAAGTCAATAACCCAACTCTATCACCCTCTCATCTTCAAGGTCTGAGAATATAAGAAAAAAAATTCAATCTTTTTTAGTTATTGTTATAGTTTAATTCATGATTGCATTTTATGCTTATATGTAAATGAAATGAAGAATAAATCTAGATTTTTTAGGTTTAAGTTTTATTGCTTCATGCTTCGATTTGTAGGCCGTTGTCGTATGTATGACATTTTGATCTGATTTCGTAGTATTTCGATGTCGATTTATGTTTTATCGATTCCTTTGTTAGTATTTCTGATTAATTTTTTTTTTTTGGTAATTTTGTTGTTTTTTCAGACTTGCCGGGATTTACACGAAGCGTATACAAACGAGACCATGCTCTGATAACTCCGGAAAGTCATGTATTCAGCCCTTTGCCCGAGTGGTATATTCCTCATCCCTGCTTCTTATTTTAACTCAATTGATTTGTATGAATTATTATTTTTATATTCATCTTTGCGTATGTATATTTATATGTATACACACATTCATTGTGTTTATGTATCGACAGGACTAACACGTTAGGTGCTTATCTCATTACACCGTCGATGGGCTCACATTTTGTTATGTACTTGGCAAAGATGCAAGGTGCATTTCAGTTTTTTTATTTTTATTGTCATTGAAATTAATAAAGTTTAATTTTAGCTTTATATATGTTATTTTCTTTGAGATTTTTCGATTGTTATTTAATTCATATTTGCAGAAAATTCAAAATCGGGGCTCCCACCAAAGGATGCTGAGAGGTAAGAAATATTTATTAATTTTCTTTTATATCCCTTTTCCGTCTATCGTCATTTTTTTACGTAAAACGAACGTATTGTGTTATTGCAAAGTCAGGTTCGTATTTGTACTCCAGGGTGTGGTGATTCTCAACGACACATCGGGGATCAAACACAATCTAGAGGTACGGGAGCTAAACCGAAAACTGTAAATAAATCACGTTTTTCGTTTTTCGTTTTTTAATTCTTAAACTAACCATTAAAAATTGCAGGTGGATTCATATGCATATCTTCCTCCAAACTCGGAACATTTGTTCGACTCCGATGCATCTGCCACTCTTGTTGTATTTGAAAGAAGGTTTCTTTTTTCGTTTCTTGATAATCTTTCTCATAAGCATCAATCTTTTTTTCTTTTTTCCGATTTAGCCCTCTATAAATACTCCTCGTTTATCTCAGGCACGACTACTTGGAAAATCATATTGCCGAGCAAATCATTGGTTGGACAAATAAGCAGCCCCTTTTAGAAACTCCAGGCGAGGTAACATTATAAGTTCTTGCCTAGCTCATGATAGTTTCCGAAAAAAAAAATTAAATTTTTTTTTTATAATAATTAAAAAAAAAAAGTGATAGATTTTATTTAGACGAAGTATTTTTGTTATTTAATATTTACAACCACTAATGCATTATATTATCTTACATGTTCAGGTTTTTGAGCTCAGAAAGCTTCTTCCGACCTCTTTGGCATATGATTTCAACGTACACGTAAGTTGCAACTGAAATTAATTAGGTCGTGCTTTAAATATTACGCAATCTTGTTTTTCTTTATTTTTTTTTGTTCATGATCATAGTTTGAATTTCCAAATTATTATATATGATAACTAAAGTACAGAATTTGCATTTAAAAACGAGTTTTTCGTTAGAGTAAAAATTGCTTCGTTTTCAGTCAAAAAATGAAGATAAAATTGACATTTGTAACATTAAAATTTAAAACGCTTCGTTTATCGAGGAGTGATTTGGTTCATTTATTAAAGGGTATTCTAAATATCGATGGCTTTATTTTGAATAAATTCATTTGTTTGGCAGATGATGGATTTTCAACCAGGCGAATTTCTAAATGTAAAGGTATATTCTTTCTTTAACTTGTACAGTATTTTCACCATCTATATTAAATTATAGTTTCTATTAACTGTAAAAGTAATTACGCAATCACGCGATTCGTATAATCTAAGCGAAGATTAATGAATTTAATGCATTTGACGTGTTTGCAGGAAGTTCACTATAACCAGCACGGATTATTGCTTTTGGAAGGACAAGGCATATACCGTTTAGCTGATAGCTGGTAATAAATTAATTCCCTAATTAATATTATCCTTGATTTTTAAAATGATTTCATTTTCACGTATTAATTAGCAATAATAACCGTAAGCGATGATCATAAATCGTGTGTATAAATTGATAATCAGGTATCCAGTTCAAGCTGGTGACGCAATTTGGATGGCCCCCTTCGTGCCTCAATGGTAAGTAATTAGTCGAGATTGCTATCCTAATTTTAAGTTTAGTACATAATCAATGCAACACTAATTAACTTTTATTTATTTATTTCGTAATTCAGGTATGCAGCACTTGGCAAGACAAAGTCGCGCTATTTGCTGTACAAAGATGTCAACAGGAACCCATTGTAATAATAATTGAATCGTATTTTTTCTCTTCGTATTTTGATACGATTGCTTTGACATCACGTGTAAAACACGATTAGCTATCTTATGAAAATTAAGGTTGTTGTCTTCAATTTTTTTTGGTTGCCTTGTAATCATTTTTGTGAATAATGCACGGTCGTATTTAACGAAAATTTGGAACAAGTAAATTAAATAATAAACAGAATATTGATTAGAACAAACTCTTGCAAGCATTATTCCTCTTAGAAATTGAAGGCTTGCATTGCAATTTGCAGAAGAAAATAAAAATAAATTACTGCATGCAGTTTCGAGCTATTTTTATTCGACACGGGAGCAAAAAAGGGCATCTTTTGATAGATTATTAAAAGAAATTAATTAAGGTCCCCTTTTTCGAAATAATCCCATAATGCATGCATGTGATTTGCATAATCAAGAATCTGATTCTCTTTTCTTGAACACAAAAGCTCAAAACAAGTGCGATCCCTCTTTGTACTCTGACCCGATTTCTTTATGTTCGGTAACTTTTTGAATACATACATACATACACATATATACGCATGCATATAGCATGTATACATGTACTTGTGTATGTATTGACTGTTGTACATGCATATGATACATATACATGTGTATGTATGTATGTATGTATGTATGTATTCCAAAAAGTTGCAGAAAAACAAGTGTGATCCATCTCTATGCTCAGAGCCAATTTGTGTGTTGTACGTCTTTTGGAATACACATATATAGATACATACATATTATATATGGCATCTACGTACGTGTATATATGTATACGTACAACTACAAGTTGGGTATAAATGTAAACCTCGTCTCCCAACACACTGTTATTACAGTCTTTCTTGCTCATTCGAAAAACAAGGAAAAACTAAATATGCCAATAGTCAAGATATTTCTTCTTCTTTCTCTGTTGCTTGTGATTAATTATTCACTAAAATCAGGTAAATATATATGATTTTATTTTCAATCTCTCTCTCTCTCTCTAAAAATGCTGGTTGGTTGTAGATGGGGTGTTGGAGGATTGGTGCATAGCAGATGAGCAAACACCGGACAGCGAGCTGCAGGCGGGATTGGATTGGGCGTGTGGTAAAGGAGGTGCAAACTGCAGCAAGATTCAACCGGGCCAGGCGTGCTTTAAGCCCGATACTGTGCGGGCCCACTCATCTTATGCCTTCAACAATTACTATCAGAAATTCAAGCACAGAGGTGGCTCTTGTTACTTCAACTCTGCTGCCATTACCACTGATCTTAATCCTAGTAACTTCCACTCTCTCTCACCTCTCTCTACTTCTTTCCATTTCTTTTTCTTATTTTTTTCAATTTATATATATTCTTTTATTTTATCTTTCATTTATGTAGTATTGAAGTATTCTTGGTATTTATTGAATTTGCAGGTCATGACTCTTGCAATTATGAGCTCACACCTTGAGAATAGTCGAAGATGCATTTTCAATTTCTCACTCCGCCCGGAAGAATTATTTAACATCGGTTATTAGGATCTAGGTCCAGAGTTTCGAACTCTGCATTTGTAACAGATTTTGTATTTAAAGAAGAATCGAGCCAACGGTTCTTTGTTCTTTTTCTTGGCTCAGTTTCCACATGTCAACCCTCAAAAGTAGGGAGGAAAAATCACAACAAATTATTGACACTAAAATGGCACAAAAATTTTCTTTCTTTAGCAAGAAATTACCAAATAAGTTCACAAATTACCAAGAATTGGATAGAGTAAAGATGGAATTTATTAACAAAAAGGTTTATAACTACAAATAGTATACCACCTTAGTAGAGTTGCAGAATCAATTTGGCAAATATATATATAGCAATTAAAACTTGTTTTGTTATTGAAGTTGAAATAAACAATCAGAAGAGTAAGCTTGCCCAAGCACCAATGAAGGCGAATCCTCCAATAGGGGCCAATCTTGAATACGTCCTGTCTTCAAGATACGCAACCGCATAACACCTGCCACAAAAAAAACCAGCATCGATTTTTTCTCATAAATAATTAAATATAACCACTCTTAATCGGTGTTCTAAAAGAAAATATAAAACAAAACACGAAAATGTTATTTCTAACATAAAGATAAAAAGTATCAAAACTCTCAACAGTCAATTTAACACGCACGAGTTAAGTCCCACCAGAATACGTATTAAAAGCCCATTGACATAATAAAAAAGACATTTCTTTACTCTTAAAAGTTGTTGACAAATAAACTAACTACATTTGAACGATAAATTTAACTATTTTTTGTCTCAAACAGTTCATGCATCATGTAAAGTATCCTCATCCGGCCCCGATCAAACTTTAACCATTATCGAGAAAAGCCCGAAAAGTCATGTGATTATGCTTTTACGAAGTTAAATAACCCAAACTATGTAATAAATAAATTGGATTGATCAATATTTTCCCTTTGGATGTTCTTATTTCGATTATGATACATTCGCAATATAGCAAAAAGTATGAAAAACTTACGTTCCGGAAAATGTGACGATTCCAGTAGTCAAAAGCCCTCCAAACTACAGAAAATGAATTAATACACAGACGAAATTAATTATATATAAAAAAAAACATCATTAATTACACAAAATTTAGGGGCAAGTGGTAAATAATGGGGGGACTCACAATATTAGGGCGGGATGTTATAGGAGCAGCAAGCAGTGCTGCAGTGTGAACCAAATGATACAGAGATGCTGTGTGCCATACCTTCATTTTTCAAACTCATATTAACACATCATACACAAATCAATCATAACCCTAAAAATAGAAAGAAACAATAAACCCTAAAAATTAACAATTCTTCTGATGATTTTTTCTTAATTCGACATGGTAATCCAGAAATGAACTGAAATAAGCAACATTTAAAAAAATAAAAAAAAATACCTCCTTGTAAGAAGGGTTCTTCGGCTTGAAACCATGGGCGCCGTAGCTTCCCAATCCCAGAGCTGCTACACCTGTTACAGTTTCATAATCAACAATTCGCAGTCCCAATTTCCTTTTTAGAGAGAGAGAGAATCTAGAGAGAGAGAGGCGTACCAGAGAGAGCAGCGACTTTGTGCCATAGACGAGGATCCATTTCTGATTTTTATTTCTCTCTTTTTTCCTTTCTCTTTAGTTTTTACTTTCAGTGTTGACAAGTTTCGAATTTAAAAATGCTTAATTACATTTCAATCCCTCAAGTTGTGACTCATTGCACAATGTACCCCTGATATCTTTGAATGTGTGCAATAAACCTTTTTCTTCACCCACTATTCCACTAATTATTTCTTCAAGTTATGTTTGTTAATAAATCACCTAAGATTCTAATTGAATCGAAATATATTTTTGTTTATCTTGTAAAATTAATGTTGTTGTAAACTTAGAAAGTGATTTATAGATTAATGATGGAATTTTGCATTTAAATTTCTAAATTTAATACAATTTAAATGGTAAATGAGCATTTGATGTTAATAACTTTGGTATTTTTTGTCGAGTTAGTTATCGGTGTAATTTAAATGGTAAATGAGTACTTGCGATAAGAAAAAAAATAAATATTATATGTGTATGTTATGTATATTCGAAGAGTATGGGTGTAAATGAATTGAGCCGACTCGTGAGCTCGATGAATAGACTAAAAAAAACTCGCACTTAGAGTTTTTGAATAAATTAGAACAACATAATAACAAGAACTCCAAGAAGAGAACTAAATAAAGCAATCAAGATCATGTGAAATGTAAATCAAGAAAATAAAATACATATAAAAAAATCATAATCAAACATCACTTAATAAATAGAGTCAAATAAAAAGCATTTCTATAACAGCAGTAAATCAACAGTTCCAAATCCCAGTTACAAATTACAGTACAGATTTAAAGCTCCCAAATAGATTATGGGGGCAAGGATTAGTTCTAATCCTCCAACTAACTACCTTTCGTTTTTTCCAAGAATAACATCTTAGCTGTGTTTAAACCTATACATTTCGCCTCGTAATGCACACTCCTTCGGAAATTCATAATTCTAGAATATAATCAAGAAAATTAAATTCCCATTACCTCGATTCCCCTCGTTCAACTCCTTGCACTCGTTTCACCACATACGATTTCAGCTCCAGCTTTTACTCTACAATCCTCTTGAAGAATTTCCACAGAAGTCGAAGCACTGATTTCACTTGGCTCGACTTTTTCTTCTGTAGTTAAATTCTTCCTAAGTTCGATTTCTCCTTGAAGAAGAAGTTCATCTGGGATTGCAGCAGAATCGAGATCCCAACAATCATCGGGCAACTCAGTACCTGCAATTTTAAGCGAACAAGACGGAACTTGGTGCGAAAATCGAAGCATTTCTCTTCTTTGAATCCATTGAACTGCATTCTTATCATTGTTCCTTTGATACACCGTCTTATATCCATCCAATTTAATCAGCGGAGTTACCCACACACCATTTTCCTCGGAATAGTCTTCGAGAATTTCCACCATTTCATACTGGTGCCTCACTTCATCGGGAGTTGCTCTGTTCCAATCCGACGACCAGTTTCGATAAACCGCCCAAATATCTCCACTTCTTGGATATATTCTCACACAGCCTCCCCTACCAGTCTTCTCTCTGCTGAGAAGATGTGAGAATATGTTGACTTGGTCAATCGTCTCGGAATGGAACACTCTAAAGCTCCCGCACGATTTCGTGAACCCGGAATCCAACCAATTCACCGACCCAAATTCGCTGTCGGATTTCGAGCTCAAGTAGCTTATGTGAATCTTGAACGGATTCACCGAAATCACCTCGCGAATCAGACAATACAATCGAGGCATTCCGTCTTCCTCGTCGTAAAGGGCCCATATCTGCTTCGGTTTAAAGCACTCTTCGGATCTATCTTGGTCGAAATCATGGAAATCGGAATCTGGTACTGTTATTGACATCGAAACAGTTCTCTTCAGCTCTATCGTTTTGTTAGCAGACTTCTCAGCTGCCGCGAGTTTATATCTTTTCTCGGCCTCTGCAGCAGAAGCTGCTGCTTCTGAAGCCAACTTCATTTTTTCTAGTTTCTTACGGATTTCTAACTTCGCCTTCTGAATAAGCAACTGTCTACCATCAATCACAGGGGCAGGTGAAAAGCGTTTGGTCAAAGTCTCGGGTGTGGAGGAAAGCTTAGACGCAGGCTTCGACGCTCCATTCCCATTGCCTAATTTAGGTTCCACAACAATATTTCCGCAAAATTCTCCATTCCCGTTAACGTACGAGCTTCCCAATTCAATTTTTCTCTTCTTGGCAGGCCTACCACGCTTCGATTTTACTACTTCATTATGCCCGTTGGAGCTCACATGACCTGGAGTAGTAGTAGCTTTCACCGTTTGATGCTTTGCATTAGCTTTAACTTTAGCCTTTCTTGTCTCACCGTTGGCTTGATGAAAGACAAACGAGGAAGCAGATAATCCACTAGGCTCTAATATTCCAGACGAGCTACCCTGAAACGAAATATTCGAGGCATAATCGGATCTATGTCCGCTGTGATGCCCCGATGCCACATTTGGTGTACAATATCCAGTCGGCGTTGTTGGTATATACGTAACACTAACACCACAACCATGGCTCCCATAACCATTCTGAGGCACAAAAGGGAAATTGCCATACGAGAAAGAACCGGCCAAAGGGGCTAATCCAGTTTCGACAGCAATGAAGACACCGCGACAGTTCTTACAAGAAAGTCTTTTGTTGACATACTTCCTCAGATATTCGTACTGAACATGACATGATGTACAGACTGTCCAAAAAGTATCGAGCCTTCCATGAGAGGGTGGAAACAAATTTCTGCGCTGATCGTACGAGCTTCTTTTAGCACTGTCTGATAAAAGTGTCCATGCCTCGGAAACCAACCGAAACGCCCCGTCAGCACCAATAGTTCTGTTCTTGTCAGGGTGTAGCATTACTGCTAGTTTCTTGTACTGTCTCTTTAATTTGGACTTGTCCACAGAGGAATCCACCCCAAGAATTAAATAGAAATCGAGCTCTCCGTTTATTTTCGCCTCGGAAGCCATGTAAACTCCAAACGTGGCCACCATCTGTGATATCCCCTCTAGCTCAGGACAGAGCATTTGAGCTTTCAAAGCGTAATCTTTTGCAGCTACAAAGTTCTTCTCCACAAATTGCTTCTCCGCAAATGCTTTGGCTCTCACCGCTTCTTCTACGTTGGATGCCATCTCGAATTTTGAACTCAAATCGAAATCGAACCCAAATCCTCGAAAACTACAACAATCCAAAAATAGCCATTATTACTTGCTGCAAAAAAGTAATAACAGATTGTTAAAATATAATGACTCGCAATAAATACAATATCTTTCGTGTTTCGAATCATAGCAGATCGATCCTAAATCTCGAATCAACGATTAAAACAGAAAACAGAAGCAATTTGATTACACTACAAGCACAATTAACACGAATTAATACTTCATTTCCAGTACACTTTCCCCTTTTACGGAATTCAAACCCTAGTCAAAATAAGTAAATCTGAATTCAAACCTAAGTAAAAACAAACAGATCGCCTGAATTTTAGCAAGACGTTCCCATTAATCGAAGATCTAGCTAACAATAGCTCAATAAAAACTCATTCAACCGCCATTTTCAGATTTTGAGCTTAGAATTTAACAAAAAAATAAATAAAATAAATAAATTAAATAACAACTTCTTACCAAGATACAGAACTAAATCCAGATCTTCAGAAATTAGCTTCAGATCTACTTCATAATCAGGGTTAAATCTGAAAAAAGGTAAATCCGATATACCAATGTAAATAATTTCCATCAGTAAAATTACCTCGAGGGAAAAAAATAAATAAATCAAAAAAAAAGGGAAAGCTTACTTAGGGTCAAGTATAGAACAGGCGGGGAGCAGAAACAATGTGAAAGGAATATTCCGGCAGCCAACGGCGAAGATTCCTCCGAAAATCAGAGCACCAAAAAAAATTAATAAAAATAAAATAAATAAAAATTATACTGTGGAGAGATTATTTAAAGTAGTACAACTACAACTATACGCATGTAGTTAAATAAAAATATTGATGTTAATATCTAATATATAAATAAATGTATAATAAATAATTAAAAAAATAAAAAATAATTTTGATAATTTGATGATTATAAAACTATTATTAATTTATTATTATGTTCAGTGAAAGTAACAGTTATTAGTATTTAATATGGGTGGCATCCAATGGTGCGTCCCAATGCGTTATGCACAATAAAACTTTGATAAATTATTTAGGAAAAAAGGGTTGTTTTTAATTACTCTTTTGACATTTTATTTCATATTTTATTATTTATTAATTGCTTTTCAATTTGAATTCTTGATTTGGATTAACAATTAAATATTGTAGTAATTAGGGCTACAATGTCACATTAATACCGATGTATGATCGTTTCTCAAAATTATAAATTTTTATAATGTATTTTTAATAATACTTATTAATTATACACTTTTTTTTTTTTTTTAATATAATAACGATTTTCCTTAAAAGCAAAAAAAAATGGTTAAAGAGTATGATACAATATTAATGGGACCAAGTTTAGTTGCCCATATTAAGTTGCGCACACATCAACAAAAAGTTGGGCCCAATCAAATATTTTGGCCCAAATAACTATTTTATTTAACACTAAAAATCTTTTATTTTAAAAGATAATTAATCATAAAATTCACCAAATATAAATATAATCATAACAAGCATCTAACAATTATATGAATTTTGTTGAACAAAATATGTATTTAGTATTTTATATAATATTTTTTTGAATATTCGTCTATTCGTATTGATTTAATTAATGTCAATTATATGATATTTTTCTTTTCGGAGTATAATTTATTTCCATTCTCGTACAGTAATTTGTAAATTGTAGGAGAGTTATAAACCAACCAATACATTAAGTATAAGTCACGTGTAATAAATTCGATCTTAAAAATGAATTCGAACTCGAGTCATTTATAACTATGCACTTGTGGGGTACTAAATATTAATTTTATTTCAGAATAATCGTATAATATTATTGTTAAGAAATATTATAAAACAAAAAATAAAAGAAAAGAAAAGGGAGAGAGAGAAATAGAGAGTATTCAAGAAGTGAGAATAAAAGACTGGATTTATTAATTTTATTCCCTAAATGAAAATAAAAATAAAAAAACAATAATAAATAAATTAACCATAAGTAGTAAACAAATAAATAAATAAAATAAATAAATAAATTTCCAAAAATCAAACGTTCACGGCTTTGCAAAGGAACATGAGCGACGACGGCGGCGGCGAAGCCGAATCACCACCACCCCCACCGCCAAGCCTTCCGCCGCCGCTGACCAACACCCTCTCATAATAATCAACACAGAACAACGACAGTGAGAGCTCCACCTCATGCCGAGTCCTAACCCTCCTCTCCAGCTCCGCGGCGGCGCCGCCGCCACCGCCGCCGCGCACCGTCATCTTCCCCAGGCGGCTGAGAACCGGCTTGACGCAGAGCATGTAGAGCCTCCGGTAACCTCCGAGGGCGACGACGACGGTCCTGACACCCTCCGGCGGCGGAGAGAGGTGGCGGAAGCAGAGGTGCTCCCACAGGGCGTCGTTCCGTGTCAAGGAGCACCAGAGGCGGCAGACGCAGGCGGCGACGCCGAGTGAGCGGTCGTCCAATCTCTTGAGTATTTCAATAAGAACGTCCATGTTGTCGTTGATGCTGAACTTCACCTTCTTCTCCTCTGGTTTTCCATTATCTACTAGTTCATGCAGCTGCACCATTTTTTTGTATGTATATGTGTATGTATATGTTATATGTATGTATCTTCCCTGTGTGTGTGTAATTTGTGAGAGAAAGTGAATGATATGGGTATTTATAGTAGGAAAAATAAAATAAAGGGGGTTTAATATAATTTATTGAGTTTTGACAAACACACACACAAACACACTCTTTGTGTGTGTTTGACAGAAGTATCGGAAGAAGAAAAGAAGAAGCCAAAGGGAAGATGACAAGGAGGAGAACTGTAACCAAGAAATTCAAATGTTACTATAATATATACGGTAATTTACGAAAACCCCCCTTAACTTAGACTAAATAACAAAAAACACCCCCACCTATTCGTAATAACCAAAATCTCCCCCTCTAATTAACTGTTGATCGAGTTTTTTAACTGTACAGTCTATTATATCTTGTGTTATGTAAGAAATACAAGAAAATATCTGCAATTGTGTAATGTCTATTCATTGGAATCACAAAAAATCCGTGAAAAGTCACATTATTAAGGCTGAAATAAACCTCAGGGGTATTTTGGTAATTACGAATAGATGGGGTGTTTTTGTTATTTAGCTTAAAGTTCAGGGGTTTTTTTGTAATTTACCCTAATATTTATTGAATATTGAGAAATAACAGTATATTGTTTTATTAATTAAATGCATATATATAGAGTGGGAGAAGGCCGTTGGGTAAAGTAAAAATATATACATGTTTTTGTTTTTGCATGCCAACGTAACAAAAATCGATTTTAATTTTATTATATATAGTTGACAAAATTGAGCACGCATACATATGAAGAAAAAAGAAATTTACATAATAGACCCCTCATAAGTCACAAATGACTGTTTTCTATTGGCTTTGGATCTTTGTTTCGTGGACACATCACTTTCTCTCTCACACACTGTGCGTGAGAGAGAGAGAGAGAGAGAGAGAGAGAGAGAGATGAATATAATGTTGTGATTCTTGGTTGGGGAAGTTGATGGTAGCAAGCTTACAAGAAGACCCGCAAACTCTGCACAACTTTTATTTAATTTATTTTTCTTTTTTTCACAAATATATATAATTAGAGTCACTCACTCCCTCAACCTTTACTATATGTACTTTGTTGTTGTGCCAAATTGGAGTAAAAGTCAAACATATAAGTTTTTTTATATTTAATAGGACTAACTTAATTTATTGATTATTTATCATATATATATATATATATATATATATATATATATATATATATATATATATATATATATATATATATATGCATTGCACCTCTCATGAATATTTTGTAATTTTCTAAAATGAAATCATGTATGTATGGGTGGGGTGGGCACAAATTTAGCATGTGATTTGACATGATGAGTATGTATATTGAATCATATATTGATAAATAATATTTAATTTAATTTGTCATGATGTTGTTAAAGTAAGCTTTTAGTAGGCAATTTTTCAGAATATATTAATTTCATTTATTTAATTTGGTTAGTGATATCATGGCGTCTAATTTTGTTACTTTATAGTTTATATTGAGAGAGATTTTGGAATAAAATTGATGAGAAAATAAAATTGGGAAAGAAGATCGCTTAGTGAAAAGCCCAATAAATAGCTTGTATACGACAGGTGTTTGCTATGCTTCAGGTCGCGTGAAAGATGTTGGAAAAAGATGATTTGTAGATATTTTTCGAAAATAGATTACAAAAATACATAAATTAGGAGCGATCATCGGAAAATTAGCATAAATCTTGTGCAAATATAGAATTCGTCAAATAGAAAAGATTCATCCATGAAATTCATATATAATCGAATGTAAGAAACTCTACTAAGGTGACTTTAGTTACAATTAATAATATTCTTATAATCAAACTCTAGCTCTCTCTGTATTTAATATCTTTCAGTTCGTTGTTTCACCTCCGATCCGCCGGCTCTAGGCCCGACGTCCAGTGAACTCTCCGACTGTCAAAAGAAGTAGGTCGTTTGGAGCGAGGTCTTGAAGATGTTGATCATGCATCATCCGGTTGACGATTATTGCATATATTGTTTCGTTAAAACAATTATCTTGCATCAAAATAAAATTGTAAAAAAATTGCTAAGTGGAATAATAATACCACAAAGATGAGAACAACAATTAATAATGTTCTTGGCCAAAAAGCAAAGGTAACAAAACCTATAAATGAAACATCATTTTCCTTTTGCTAATCCCTAAAGAAAATGCCAGATACATGACACACATGCACATGCAACTATGAAATCAAGAAGACAATTACAAAAGTCAATCAAATATACCATGTAGTATGTAATAAATTTTAATATATATATATATATATATATATATATATATATATATATTTATTTATTTATTTCTTGGGCATAGATGAAAAGATTATAATTCTTAATAGTATTCTCAGCTGGTGAAAAACAAGTGACTAAAAAATAGGTCAAAAATAAACAAAATAAAGAAACAAGAGATAAAAGGTAAGCACAAAATGACTTTGGAAAAGAAACAAATTCCAGTTGCAGGGCAACCCTCAGCCCCCCTCTACAATCTACATACATATACAATATTATTATAAATATAATTGATTAATTAATACTAGTATTTTTTAAATAATATTTTTGCCGGTCGTCCCGACTTAGGAACAACGTGAACATGATAAATTGGTAATTCGCTAAATTTAAGACTCTGATATAATACATACTATATTTATTAACAATCTACAAAAATGACGTCATAAAGAATTATTTTATTCATTGATGAAATTAATTTATTTCAAATTATTTATTATACTTCGTTCGTCAATCAACATCTCTGTAGTTGTTCTATCTTTTTTTATAGGATAACTAGTAATTCACCCGTGCGATGCACGAGATCAATTTTTTTTTAAAATTATTTTGGATAAGATAAAACGAACGAAAACTTTGAACAGTTGACATACATGTAAATAATACCCAAAAAAAATGTTTTATTGAATCAAAATATACATTTGTTTGTGATTTACCTTTATATTCGCTAAAAATATTTTGTGCACACAACATTGCTCTTAAAGTTAGTTATGTCGCCCGATTCTGAGTTGATAAATATCTTTATCCCAAATCTACTTTTAACTTTGGACATTGCGGCGTACAGTTGCTTATGGCACCCTAATATTGACACTAATGTTACACTAACAACAACTACTAATACTAATACTTAAATCAACATTGATAATACTAATACCAATACTAATATTAATACTAAAACCAAGACTAATAATACTAATATTAATACTAAACCTAATATTAATACGATGATTAATACTAATAGTCTAATACTAATATTAATATCAACTCTACTATTAACCAACCCTCATTAGAATATTTGGTACCTAACATTTATCAATAGGGTAACTGTCAAGGATTTAAGTCCCCCCCCCCCCCCCCCCCCCCCCTACTTCCCCTTGTAATGGAATTGAATTTACTCAAGAAAAAAAAAATCAACACTACTATTAATAATAATACGCCAATTCTAATACGAATATTTAATGTTTAAACTAATACGCCAATACTAATACGAACACTAATACTCATACTAACACTAATAGTAATACTAATATTAAAACTAATGCTAATACGCCAAGACAAATATGAATTCGAATACTAATAATAATACTAATAATGATAATAATAATGATAATAATACTGATATTGATATTGATACTGCTACTGATATTAATATTAATATTAATATTAATACACATACACATATTGATACTCATACCGATACCGATACTGATACTAATACTTATACTAATATTATTATTAATACTAATACTAATACTAATAATGATAATAATACTGATATTGATATTGATACTACTACTGATATTAATATTGATACTAATATTAATGCACATACTGATACACATACACATATTGATATTGATACCGATACCGATACTTATACTAAAACTCATACTAATATTATTATTAATACTAATACCAATATTAATATTCATACCAATACTTATACAGATATTGATATTGATACTGATATTCATACTCATACTCATACTCATACTCATACCCATACTCATATTGGTGTTGTTATTGATAATGATACTAATACTGATAATGATAATGATACTAATACTAATACTGATATTGATATTAATACTGATAGTGATACTGATACTAATACTAATATCATACTAATACTCATACAATAATAATACTAATACTAATATTAATATTGATAGTGATACTGATATTAATACTAATATCATACTAATACTAATACTAATAATAATACTAATACTATTACTAATACCAATACCAATACCAATACCAATACCAATCCCAATACCAATACCAATACCAA